GGTCCCGGATGGTTGGAGGTTTCCGGCTTTGTTTAGGGGCACAGGCGTCAGGGGGCATCGGTATCACGTTTTCAACGAGCCTTGGTATTACAAGCCATCATAAAAAGATTATTGGCAAGGGATCAGGGTTACGAGACGAGAAAATGTGAATACGTCTTAATGTGTAAAAGTTTACGGCTGTGTATCAAGAGGAAAACTTGAATGGGGGTTTTAATTCTTAATTCTTGTAGGTCTACATGTAGACTCTAGACAGCGCATCAAAAAGATGAGCGGTTCCAATGAACTAGTTGAATTCATTTCCTCGGTCTTTATCGACGTGTGAGGCTTGTATTAGTATGTATTAGTATGTATTACTAGTCCACCTCGAAAACTAAAACTGAGTATATAGACTAAATCGCGTTAGACTTTTGACACTATTGAAGGAAGTAGACCAAATACTCGCGCCAGATTCTTGACGACATTCAAGGAAACATGATAATTAGGACCGAGACCTATCTAGCTTGAGCATCTTCTATCTGCCTAATATTGAAGACATCGTCCCATGTGATAGTTACAGGTGAACTGTATCTCTCAATGGTAAATCACAAGGGGGTAGAACTGCTCCACTAGGGATGCTACCTGCTATTTTTGTTGATCATTTCCATTATTGGCGCCTACCAGCATTAATATGGATGTGACTTGCATCAGATCGCGGATCAGTCCTGCCGTTGCGCCATCAAGATTGGAGTTTGAAGATCATTGATGTTTATCTTCATCGCCCGCATCAAATGCCGTACCTGCGTACTATATTGTACATACATTAATATGTATGGAAGTGTCTGTTGAAGTGATCGTCACGTGGACTTCAAGAATAGATACCTACCTAGGTAGGTACTATATATCCAAATTTACAAGGTGCAACATACAATATGCCTATTTATATCATGCGTGTCGAACCATAATCGAAATTCAGAATTCTTCCAAGGTTCGTTCCGATAACTATTGATGCAAGGGGTCGTGTCACGTCCGTATTGTTGACGCTGTTCAACTTGAATGTGAGCACGGCACGCCTCGAGCCGAGCCCTTTTTCCCTACAGACCACCCCCTATTTTAATTTTGTGGCGTCGTCAGCCGAATACATGACGCTTCTTATATTAAGACGCCCTATTGATCGCTGACTACATTGTGGATTCTACCAATCATGCGTCCCTGCAGAAGTATTAAACTCCGACAACTCACATGCCACCAGAAACTTACCTTTGATTCCACAGGACCAGACAGGGGAGAACCACGGTCTGTGGCTTCCCTCGTATTGCGTCAGCAACCTACGAGCTACAGTATTTATGCTTGGCAAGATAATTCTGATGGTTCAGATCGCGATACCTCGTGGGACTCTCGAAAGGAGACGACGAAGATAGGTGTGCAGGCGCTTAAATGTCACATCGGATCGAATGGAAAAAAAACCCACCTAGGCATCACCGGGAAATTGGAAGAATATGAGCGACTGAGCTGCAGGTATAAGTTATCGCGCATTTAACGGTCCTTTTAAATGGTGGAAATGCGGACTATATTAAAAACTCTTCGCCGTCGTCTTCAACCCAAGCAAGACATCTGATGTCTTGCTGAACAACGCATTCTTTGCATATCGCTCGTTACCTCCTACGACACTCGCTTGGTTATCAGGATATTGAATTTCAAGCCGTACGTGCTGCTGCTGTTCTGAGAGCTCTCAGATATGTCGACAGCATTCCAGTGGGCGATATGTTGTCTCTCGTTTCTCTCTCTAGCTTCCGGGGTAACAACTCAGAGGGACTCAGGCCCTTCCGACTTCGATAGGATTGAGTCTGCCGTGGACGCCATGATGGCCTTATACGACAACGCTACAGGCCTTTGGGACCCTAATGACGCCGGTTCTTCTTGGTGGCAGAGCGGTGTCGCTCTTTGGGCTCTTTCGGAGTATATGACCAAGTCGGGGTCGCAAGTCTACCTCGCTCAAGCCGAGAATACGGTCAATATCCAGCGGGCACCACTCAGCTGGTGGTCAGAAGGAGGTGGTGACTTCCGCGCTGACAGCACTGATGACACGGGCTGGTGGGCTCTCGCGATGACGAGCATGTACGAGCTTACCGGTAATGATGACTATCTGAATATCGCCAAGGAAGACGAGGCCTACATGTTTCAGTATTGGAACACCACGACGTGCAGCGGCGGGCTTATCTGGGACATTCCGACTGAGAGTTATCACAACGCCATCAGCAACGAGCTCTATTTAGAACTGACGGCTAAACTCCATAATCTCATTCCCGGCGACGCAACATACCTGAACCACGCTCTGATGGAGTGGGAATGGTTCAAGAGCAGCGGCATGATCAACAGCCAGAACCTCGTTAACGACGGGCTGACGGAAGACACCGCATGCGTCAACAACGGGATGACAACGTGGACATATAACCAGGGAGTGATCCTCGGTGGCCTAGTGGAGCTAAGCAAGGCCACAGGAGATACAACATACCTGGACGCGGCGCGGCAGATCGCTGATGCCACCGTCAGCAACGCCATTTTGGTCCAGAACGGCACGATAACCGAACCTTGTGACAGCGAAGAGCAGTGCGAGCCCAACGGCACGGCCTTTAAGGGCATCTTCGTGCGCGAGCTCGCCAAGCTAGACGCCGAGCTCGACGACCACCCTTACGCCACGCTGATCGCCAACAACGCGCAGGCGGCGTGGGAGAACGCGAACAACGGGACGGACTTCTACAGTTTCCTTTGGCAGGGCCCGCTGGACAATGTAACGATCGGCACGCAGGAGGCTGCGGTTCACCTGTTGACGGCGGCTTATTTGTAATAATGGATTCAGGAGCAAGGGAGGTTCTTTGTAAAAGGTGGTATAGAATAAGGGTTCTTGGAGAGGAGTGTTATAGATGGATTTATGAGCATACGATGGTAGGGAAATGCACTGGATGTTGTTATACCCATATTCGCATCGTGTATTGAGATTAAATCATGGGGAGATGGTGAATATGACTCTCTTTTCATTTCGACTGATGATCTCTATTAGAAGCACATGTATCTAGTCATCGACTCTAGGAACTTTTACTATCCACAACGCCCTCATGAGTGGAAGTCGAGTCAATAGACAATGTCTATGGGCTTTTATTGCATTGATTCGTCAAGTAAAATGGCAGAATTACAATGGCGACCTAAACATAATTGATAGATATGACACCAGTGAATGATCCAAGAGAACCGAGTAGACTGGCCTAATCTATCCTATCTAATAATTATTGAAAAAAAAAAAAACATTAATTCGCCTCATTTCTCTATGAGGAATTTGCATATATAGTACCCCTAATCCCAACACACCCTTTTTCGAGTTATAATATACCTAGGGCTCCCAATACCAGCCATTTACAAACAACGCAGAGTATGTTATAACCAGGTGTTTAATATAATATCACTCAAAAATGCCCGTAATATGAATCCATAATAGCTGTTCGCAACACGTCATTGCCGTATCGAATCGTACTCAGATGGGGGGATTATGAAATCGAATCATCAGGGCTTTTCATATTCGACAGACCAACCCGATGAACTATTACAGTGACGTACGCGCTGAACAGTCTTGTTCAAAGCATGCTTCGGTTCAGTAATTTGCTGTCCTTCGTCGTACCGGTGTGCAAGTGCTTCAATAAAAAGCAAGCTACCCGTGAACAGTGTCACCGAGGCGACAAGGACGAATGCCCCAAGGATAATTTCAGACATGGTGGCGATTTGTGAAGTTATATTTAATATAAGGAAAATTGGTGGTTCTGTATGAGGCTCGTTGTTGCGAGAGGAGCCGGTGGCTGTTGAGTTGATAGGAGCTCTTTAATGGGCAAGGTGAAGATTTCCAACGATGAATATCTTTGAGGTTTGTATATGTTGGAACTAGACATAAGCAGTATATATTTGAATTTACCGACATATTTATAGGATGCTTTCGTAGTGCAGCTTTGGCACATTTTATATAAACAACACCAAGGCGATAGACCTCGTGGCTTAAACCTTTATACATAGTACAAATGACACTTGACTTTCGATTTAAATAGTACGTATGCTAAGTTTTAGGCATGGCGTCTACTGCTTTTAACATCGCCTTGACCATTAAGGGGCCGTTCTTAAGTTCACATAGCATTAGAAACTAATAATTAACAACGAGCACCAAACTTACCTTTCTAGGTGTACGTCTTTAAAAGATAATGGTCATATTAAACACCTCTTTTCCTTATCGTTAAGTTTACGACTTTATACCACGCGTTGATTCGTTAGCAACCTCTTCATGATCACCGAATAATTAGCGATTGAGTGGTTTGCCATATACCTACTTAAGCATTATAGCGACAATATGAAGGCTGTTGAGCCATGAGGCCCACTCGTACCACAAGATACTATCGAAAATGTATTAAAAAGATATATATGGGCGGCGATGTCTGTCTGTGCTGATGTTAATAAATATATCATAAAGCGTATGATATCTACCTACCTAGTTAAGTGGTGTTAGCTTAGACGGTATTCAGACAAAGGAGTCCTATACACATAACCATATCACTTGTAATGATTTAGTAATTCTGACTAAAGAAGGGTTCTCGGTCGCTTTAAAGGCTGTCTATTGAATACACCTGTTGTGATGGCGATGTGGATAGGGTTCCTTGACAAAGCTTTTCGATTGTGACTTCACTCAGGGGTTTGATCATAAGACAGACGAAGAGAGGAGTCAGAGTTGAGATCTTACAAGGTATATTTTCTCATCTTTTTTTTTTAAAAAAAAATAAAAAAAAATAAAAAAAAATAAAATAAAGGATTTTCATGGACTTTTAACTCACTAACGGTGACTATCATTTGATCATTGATGCACATACAATTGACTAAGATCTGTCCAATCGGCTCTAAGTTTCGGCCTATTACGGGTACTAGCCATAGTGCAGCCAAACACGTAAGAGTTATATAACCAAGATAATTGCAAACTGACACAATATCAAATATCCGAATTGGTGTAGTGGCTAACATTTGACGCTCTCATTAATTACTATGATCCGTCAAGCCCGGGGTTCGATTCCCCGATTCGGAGTTCACTTTTTTGCCGTTTTTTGCATTCTTTTTTCCTGTCTTAGTTTGATAAGTACCGTATCCGTACTTTTACCTTTTCATAGCAGATTACTTAAACGCTGAGAATAGGTATATTTGATATTCGATGTCATGATACTATTTTGAGACCAACAAGCCTGACGAACTAATCATATTATGGTACCTAAATGGTGTTGCTAGATCATTTGTCTTCTATCTAGTGCGCCTATTCAACCCATCAAGAACCGGTTATGGACAGACTAGTCTAGCTAGACTTGATTGATGATAAAACCCCCAGACTTTTAGGTCAAGGATAGCTCGTCTTAACCAACCCTAACGACATACCTGTATTACCTACACGTAGTACGTTACTGAACAACGTCGAAAGCTGGTACGCTAATTAGCACCCATATCCAGCGCCTCGTGGGATGGAAAATCGAAAAAGGGATCCATGATGAACGCCTCGTAAACTCGGCTTTTCAGCGCCTTTAACTAGCCTCTAAGTGGTGCGATCCTTACAGTTGGATCATTTAAAGGCGGTGTTTTCTCTCCCTTTTCTATGCATGATGCAGGTGGGAAGCGCTCAGGTTGGCAGGTGAAATGGTGCGATAGCTCGGGATTGGCTGTTAAGAAGTCCATGTATTCATATTATGGTGATAAATTCTTGGCTATGATTTAGTGCAGTAACAGAACAAAAGCGATAAAACACTTGAATAGGTAGGTAAGAAAATTCAAGAACAAAGAATGTGCCTATGGGTGCCAACAGCGACAGCATGCATGCAGATTCAAAGTTTCACAACTTCTCGAAGGAATCAATCAGGACGTTGAGGGATTGTGACGGGAATGTCATTATTTTGTAGGGCTTGGATAAAACATTGAACTAAACAAGACCTATGCAAGAAAGGAGACTGGAACTTGCATTGGACCCTTGCCCACGCGGGCTGCAAGGATTCAGGGGGTGAATTAAACTAAAGTATGATGCTTGGCGATTGGGCTTAAAGCCGATGTGGCGTGCGTACCTAAGTACTTTGAAGTTTGTAAATATCTTGAATCTTCTTTATTTTATAATCCGTACCTATGGATTTATTCAAGATGGGATGTGATTTGCTTGGAGGCTCTGTCAAGTCATCCGTACGACTGGGAGGATTTGCAGGTCCGTCAGCATGCAAGTCATCCAACATTAAGTGTATTTTGCTTCAACGATTTCTAAAGTCATTGTAGTATCTAGTAATTAAAGAATATCTCGGAAACATCCCTTGACCAAAGCCCAATCTTCGGGTTGACAGCATTGTCAAATTGGCAATCTTATATACTGTGTTATAGACTGTATTGCTAAGCGTCAACTAAATGACCTAGAGACACACTATCGGTATCTTGATTGCTGTTTTCGAAAAAAAAGTGCGATCTTCTAGTGTGGATGTAGCTCATGGACATAAGACAGTACCTACATGTAAACATTGAATGTCTTAATGATTGAATTAATAAAAAGGCAATGGGGCAATAAGTTACAAGAGAAAGAACCTTATTGTATATTTTCCAATACTTGAATAGGATATGTCAATCATAACATAATAAGTCTTTCAGATTTTATAGGTAACAAATCAAATAACGACGATAAAAGTCAATAGCTTATTAGGTGCTGTCCCATTTGTTTAACTTTATCGGCAGTAAAGAAACACAACTGGGCAATGCCGAGCTTGCGCAATAGGTATGCAATTAAGATCTTACGCGCTAATCTGTACTGTGAATTACTTACTTAGTGCATACTGTACCGTACGTATCCATGCATTATCCAATCTATTCTTCCGTTGTGGTTCCGTTGTGGCTGGCAGCACTTGAGGTGTGGGGGAGACGTGTTCCTGCGCCAAACTCCAACGACTTGGTCGAATCAGGTACGACGAATTATAGGTACATAGGTACATATGGTACCTGGGACCCCACCAGGGGTCACTAAGAACAGCACGAAGCGACCGCGACCACTAACAAGGAAGTCTTATAGTTGGCCCAATTATTTTTTGACCTTAACCTAAAAATTCCCCAAAACATCGGTTTCTTGGCTTCCAAGGCCATGTGTGTGTGTGTGTGCACTCTTTCGACTGTTTAGAGTCTTGGGTCCCCTATTATCTTCAACTCTTCGCAACGTCTGAATCTTTTTTTTCTTTCTAACGACTGCGTACATGATTTTTCACACCACCCGATTTCACTTTCACTGTCCCCAAATACTCCGCCGTTAGTTCATTTGGACCTTGGGAGTTTTGATCAGATCAGATCTCTCTTTTTGTCCAATTCTTTTTCCCCTTCATTTGTCCCAACACTCGTTTCCATCATTTAATCTAATTCGCGAGCGGTGCTCCAAGTTCGTTCTCGATCGTTTTAATACTTTAATACCTTGCCTTACAATCTCTAATTCCTGGTCAAATATTCCCGATTTGTCATGACCGACATGCCGCAGATCTTGATCCATTGAGACAGACAAATCGCCTATTTTGTTATCTACTTAGGTAAATTACCTTCGGTATCATCACGGGTAACAATTGACGACGACAACGACGACTACAACGACAAGAAAAGCAACCGTGACGAGCGTGGGCGAATCAAGCTTCGATCCAAACCAACCACACCTCCTCGAGGGTCAATGGGAGCCAATTGAATCACGGTGTCAAAGAAAAGTACAGCGAGAACAGTTACTTCATATGACTGTCTTGTGCTGCGTATGGCAGCCCCCGTTTCTGCTGTCGTCCGACCTGTCCTGTTCAACCTCGTCTGACCAATTGACACACCACGATGCATTCCTCCGAGAATAGTCGACGAACCGCCCAGCGTCGCAGGCCAGAGTTGAATATCAATACCAGCCCTGCTAACAGAGGTCGTGATTCTATGCCTCCTATGCCCTCTACACCCCCGGCAAGATCCAAAACAAAACCACCAGTTTCCGGTCGACACCGTGTACCTCCCTCTACCTCAGCCTCGCGTGATTCCGACGAGTCTTTCTTCGATAACGGTTCCGACGAAATCAAAGGGATCGAACCTGATCTGCCCGAACTGCCTCGAGGTAGAAATGCGAGAGATTCACATGATTTATCCTTCCCTACACGCCAGTTCACTCGAGATTCTCTCGTTACCAACATGTTGACCTCTCTAGACCAGTTCTCCCTAGGTCAAATTCACACACCTACAACCAACATGTTTGAAGACGACGACCCCCTTAGTCCGCCGAGACGAGATGATTATTCAAAGTCCGTGACGAGCAACACTCGCCCAGGACGCATGTGGAGTTCTGGTCCTGGCCACGGACATGGATACTCATACAGCTCTGATTTCGAGGGTACTGATGATGGTGCAAGTAGGATATCGGACCAATACTCTAGAGGACGACGAAGCAACAGCAGCTCTGGCTTCCAATCGAGTCTTGGCCGCATAAATAGCTTGCGAGAACGCAGTCACCCTGGTACATCTGGCGCGCGCGCGCTACATTCGAGGGGAGGGAAGACGAGCAAGAGTAGTAGTACGAATAGTATTGATACTGGTGGCTATGCACAAGTCCTGACTACTCAACGATGGGCCCACGGAATTGGTGGTAGGTCGTCGAGTTTTGACTATGGACAAAGGCCCTCTCTCAGTTCTCCTAATGCTTGGAAGACTGAATTTTCTAACACATTTCTCGTTGATGATTACGAAGCAGCGCCAACACCCACGATTCCTGTTGGCCCCCGACGCTTGAATATGCCCTCCACACCCGCCGCAGCCTCGCCGATGGTCCCCCCGGAGCCCGAAGCGAAGACTCCCGATCGCAAGAAGCCTCCTGCTAGGTCGAGAAGTGGCACCATGAAAACAACACAGTCCAACAAATACGGTTCGACGCGTGACGTAGCCCCTCCGCTGCCTTCTGCCGAGCAAGAGTCCGCTCCCGCACCTCACGTCGGGTACGAGAAGTCAAAGGAGGTCTTGCCTGGAGCTTCCTGCCCACCGCCACAGGCAAAGCAGGGATTCTTCAGCAGGATATTTGGCTATCGGAACAGCTCACAAACATCGGATGCTAAATCAACTCAGGCCGCATCACCATCAGGGGAAACTGCTGAGCAAAGTGGAAACAAGTTACAACATGTGGCGTCACAATCGAAGGCCCAGTCTGCTCCTCCTTCGAGAGATTCCCAACGTTCACCTCATCAGCCTCATGTGATTCAGAAGAAGTCGTCTTTTTTCAGGCGAAGAAAGAAGTCTGTAGCTGAGCCACCAGTTCCGCCTCCCCCAGTTCCTCTGCCTCCGGGAATCACCAAACTCAAGGAGCAAGCCATGCCTCACCGCGAGTCCAGTCCTGTCAGCAGCTTGCGTGAGATCATGAGTCCATACCTGCAAGGCACCACCGCAACTGTCCCCAGTGGACTGTTCTCTCCTACCCATGAGAACTCACCGCGTGCACGTGGGTACGAGTCGCAGGATGATGACAATGTCCGTAAAACTCGAGGGTTTTCTCCCGATTACGAGCCTAGTCCGAATGCGACTATTCGGACCGTCAAATCTACGTCGGCATTAAGAAACCAGGAATCTACTCGAAGGCGGACACAGAGAGAAAGTGCGATGAGAGACCTACCTGAGTTGCCCACGAAGAAGTTGATCGAGAATCGTGACACGACATTTTTTAACGAAAGCAGTGACGACGGTAAAATACCTTCGGGCACAAGTAAGAAAAAGAAACAGCACCAACAAAGTAACAAGTCCTCTCCGATGATCGACAGCACGACAGACAAGTTCGACGTGGCTGGAATGCGGGACCAACAGGTGACTGGAAATGAGGAGTCCTCTAAACCCGAACCGTCGCCCAGGCTATTAGTCCAACATCACCATACATTCGGAGAGGAACACAGTAGACCCGTCGAAGACCGCGAAGGTCATAAGAGGATGTCAACATTTCCCGGTTCCTCTAACAAGTCCGCCAACAGCTTACCCAGCGTCCGAGTAGATAATGTAGAAAACAGCCCGAAGGTGATGGGTTCCCCTCTGGAT